GAAATGTGAGTGACGTAAGCTCCGAGGAACGGGGGTGAGAACCACTTTAAAGAAAACTGAAGGATTTAAGGAGAAAAAAAGTTCAGGATGACAAGGGACACTAAATTCCCCCAGAAAATCAGAACTTTATGAAAGCTGTGGGTTCTCTGTCAGGTTCTCTGTCAGCTGAGGTCGAGCTGTTTTAATTTACATTGAGTTCTATGGGACTTTTTTTGGGTAGCCCTTGTGAATTTAGTCTGCAGTACCAATCAGATCAGCAGCTCTGATTGGTCAGAGCGCGGCCCCCTGTGCCCATGGGTGGGACAGCTATAAGCTAGGAATACACTATCCAATTATTATTATAGTTCCATGGTTGTGCCACAGGTGCGTTGTATACATGGATCTATTATAATAACTGGATAGGGTATTAGCTTGTAGCTCGGGAGATTCTCGTGGTACTGCAAACTAAATTCATGTGGGCTACCCAGAAATTGTCCCCATAGAACTCAATGTAAACTAAAACAGCTCGACCTCAGCAGACAGAGAAACTACAGCTTTCATAAAGGTCGGATTTTGTGGGGATTTTAGTGTCCCTTGTCATCCTGAACTTTTTTTCTTCTTAAATCCTTCAGTTTTCTTTAAATCCACATTTTACTGCCACAAACTCTACTCGTCTGGCTCTTACTCCCGCTCTAACTCCCGCTCTGATCAGCAGCTCTGATTGGTCAGAGCGCGGCCCCTATGTGCACGTGCATGACAGGCACGCACGCGTATTTGGCGCAAAGCATCATGGGAGCTTGTCAACTGCGCAGAACCGGGAGGACCAGACGATGCCCAAAAATAGGCGAGTTCCGCTAATAGGGGTGTGACAATACTTTCTCCCGCGATTCGATTATCAATATGCATTTGCCAAGTATCAATATCAATTTTGAAAAAAAAAAAATAATAATGTTTTTTTTTTCTCCTTTTTTTTCGTTTTTATTGGTATCAATACTTAATATATGGCTACATTATGCATCCCCATTCTATTTATCATGAAATAAAGAGTTTTTTATTTTATTTATGCCATAAATTGGCATATTGTATATTTCTGACCAATATATCAATAATCGTCATATCGTGATAAAATCGTTATTGTAATCTTTATCGTGAGCTTTGTATCGTGTATCGTATCGTATCGTGAGGTACCCTTAGGTTCCCACCCCTGTCCGCTAATCTCTCAGGCTCGTGAAGTCAGTTGATTCACTGTTTTGCCAAAGCCAAATTCATTAACAGAGCAGGTCGGAGCATGAGTGGGTTCATCATGGCTCCTTGAAGTTGCTAACAAACTTTTGGCATAAACTTAATTTTCATATATTTTTTCATTTAGACTTTAATTGTTGCTGTTTGAATAAATAAAAACATCTTAGATCATTGTTGTGTTTTTTTATGCATTAACAAAAATGCTCCTCGCTTTAGATTAAGGTACTGCAAAATAGTGTAATAAGCAGTTTATTAACTCATATTTTTAGTGGCCTATTACCACTATTGCCTATTAATAAGCAGCGTATTAATATCTTTATAGGCATATTGTTAGTGGCCTATTAACAAGGTATCGATAATAGTTTAATAAGCAGCTTATTCATATATTTATAAACATATTCCTCCTTTAATAAGTATCTTACTAATTACTTATTAAATGCTTAAAAGCATATAACTAGAACAAAATCATTTAGAGAATAGTGAAATGAGCAGCTTATTAATATGTTTATAAGTACATATAAGCAATCTATAAGCATATTGCTAATGTCTATTAATATCTTATTAATACTTAACAAGCACACCTTAATATAAAGCGTTACCCAAAATTTGAAGAGAATACTTCTCAGGCAGAGAAGGGAGCAGAGCTGCAAGAGCAGAGGGCGGGAGGAGTGACAGCCCAGAGGTACGAGGGAGGCGCAGACAGAGAGGCCCAAAGAAGAGCAGGGACAAGAAAGAAAACAGATTTAAGAATCAGCTTTCAAAAACCTATTACAGTTAGGAAAGAAAGACAGCATCGTTATTTTACTCGATCTAATCAAACTGTAGATGCAGAATCAAGCTCGTCAGACGAAGATTTATTGATGACCGGCTCAGATGCGTTTGTAACAGCTGAACACTCAGATGACGACGGTACGAGTGGGGAAATTTATTATCAACAGGAAAGGCGACAGAACAAGAGGAAAGCTAGGCGCAGACAAGGAGAAGATGTGTCGATGTGTCCAATTGTGGTATCAACATCTAGGTCCGGCAGAGAGATCAGGACATGTAAACCGCTAACTATAACTGAAATTGACTCTATAAAATTGAGAATGAAAGACCCAAGGCAGTATGGGGGCAGAGCATGTTTGTTGTCAATCCTGGAACACTATCCTGCTCAAAATTTAACCCTAAATGATCTCACTACCGTCCTCGGTGTCCACCTTCCAATCATGTCCCCAGGATTTGAAAATGTTGCAGTTCGAGCCACAAACAGCTGTTCAGTGGAAGCATGGTATTCAGCTGTGATGGAAAAAATGGAAACATTATTTCCTGTGCCCATGAATGCTATGGAAACCATAAATCTAGAAGTGCAAGATGGAGAGACAGCCGAGGCCATGAAGCATAGATTAAACAAAGAGTTTGATGCATTGTATCCAAGAGAGTCCACCCCAACCTATGATTTGATCAAAAAAATGTTCTATCAGCGGATGCTGAGGGAGCTACCAACAGCTGAAAAAGAAAAACACATTCTGAATTTGGATACTGACTCGCCAGCTTTTGTGAGGTCATATTGTACTATTAAAAAGCTACTTCGGAAGAAAAACAGCCCCAAAACTGATGATAGTTTGTCACTGATTAAGGAATTAGTTAAAGAGATTAAAAAATCTGAACCAAAGCCAGAAAAAGTGGAGAAAGCAGAAATGTTGTTTAGTGGTAATCCAAGTCCACTGCAGCCTCAGACGCAGACACAGGTGATGCAACCACAGCAGATTATACAGACTGGACAAACACAGCAGCAACCAGATTATGAATGGCAAATGAATGGATACATGCCCTATGGAAATCAAGGACAGAGGTTCCAGACATTCCCCAGGAATAGCAGAGGTAGAGGTGGTGGACAATTGGCGCGGCGCGGCCACTTAGACAGGCAAAATCATTCCCAGATTTCTCTCCTCGTTCTTTTCAACTGTTATATTTGTAAATAGTTATTTGTATAATTCTAAACTCACTTTCTGTTATTGTTTTAGTTTCTTATATTTATAAATATTATCATCTTTCGCCTTTCTCGCTGTCCCATTCATTTCAATGCGGACTTAAAACGTTTATAACTCCCGAACCAAAGGTCCTAGAGACTTGAAACCTTGATCCGTCAGACATAATTCGGGTCTTCTGAACACGCCAGTCTTGGTCCCGAGACTCTACGACTTTCGGTTCCGGAGATATACAAAAAACAACGTTTTTTTGGCAGATATCGCGAGAATGGAAAGTCCCACAGTAGAATGGCTGGCACCATTTGAAAGCCAACCTCATAGTACGGGGGGGTACATCTTGGTTTCAATGCTCTACGAAGTTCCGTTTCTGAGATATGAGCCCTCAAACTTTTATGGTGGGGGGTACATTAAGTGGTTTTTACCCCCCTATTCTAACCCTAACCCTAACCCTAACCCTAACCCCGCTCGACCCCGCCCGTGGTCGAGTGGTTAAGGTGATGGACTGGAGCGCCAACGGCGCAGGTTCGAATCCTGCCCCGGTCATGGTCGTCATCAACCCAGGTTTGATGCCTCCTTCCCTGGTTAGATACGTCCAGTGACACCCCCCCTGGTACTGGAGGTCCCCCTGGTCCTGGAGGTCTGGGACCCCAGTTTGAGGCCTATTTCCCGGGTTGAATGTAGGGCCTAAGTGCCCCTGGTACTACATTCAGAAGTTGGCGTGCCTGGTCCTACAACTCAAACACTTAGAAAAAATTCAACACGTGATTAGTGTGTCTGGTACTACAAGTGAAACACTTAGAAAAAATTCAATACAAGTTTCAGCCCGGGAGTCCCGGGCTGAAACCCCCGGGCTCACGCTGCGTCCCAAAAAGGTGAGGTCAAACCACCTTTTCCAAGGGACCTATATGGGGAATATGGAGAGAGGTGTGGTCCAGGAGAACCAGGGGAATTACCATGGGCCTGCCAGTGATCCTACTCTCAAACGATCGAAATCTGCCTCTTGTGGAGACGAGGCCCTTGTAAGGGCCGTGAAGACGAGGCCCTTGTAAGGGCCGTGAAGGCCATAGTCGACAAGTACCGTGAAGGGAACTGGGTGTCATTAACCCAGGTTGGAGGCCTCCTTCCCTGGCTAAATACCTCCAGTGACACGCCCCTGGTCCTGGAGGTCTGGGATCCCAGTTGGAGGCCTCCTTCCCAGGTTGGAGGCCTCCTTCCCTGGTTAAATACCTCCAGTGACACCCCCCTGGTCCTGGAGGTCTGGGATCCCAGTTGGAGGCCTCCTTCCCGGGTTGGGGTTAGATAGTCCTAGGCAAACACTTAAACACTTAGAAAAAATTCAACACGTGAAACACTTAGAAAAAATTCGATTCGTGTGTCTGGTACTACAAGTGAAAAACACTTAGAAAAAATTCAACACGTGAAACACTTAGAAAAAATTCGATTCGTGTGTCTGGTACTACAAGTGAAACACTTAGAAAAAATTCAATACAAGTTTCAGCCCGGGAGTCCCTTGGAAAAGGTGGTTTGACCTCACCTTTTTGGGACGCAGCGTTTCAGCCCGGGAGTCCCGGGCTGAAACCCCCGGGCTCACGCTGCGTCCCAAAAAGGTGAGGTCAAACCACCTTTTCAAGGGACCTATATGGGGAATATAGGGAGCGGGTGGTCCAGGACTACCAGCGGGGTCGCGTCGGTTGCCGCGGGGCCTCGGTGCTTCGTTATCATCCTCATCGCTTGGGGAAGATTTCGATCGTTTGTCAATGGGTCTCTGGGTTACCCTCCGGACCCTCTGCCTCATCTCCCTGGAGGCAGATGCGGGCGCTCCTTCATCACTTCTCCGCTGACCAGAGATCCGAGGGTTGGTGGATCGAAACCCAGGCCTCACGGTACTTGTCGACTATGGGCTTGACAGCCGACTATGGGCTTGACAGGTCCGTCCGGGGTCTTCCTCGAAGGTCTTGATGGTCTCCACAATGTCATCCTCATCTACACTTGTGGCAGGTTTCGATCGTTTGATAGGACGGTCACTGGGGGGCCACCTTTTTCGCTTTTTGGGCTGCTTCACGAGGCCTTATTCCTGGGTTGAGACCTCCGGGGACCTCCGGGGACCTCCAGTGACACCCCATGGTCCATGGAAGTCTCCAGGCCGGGTTTGGGGCCTCATTCATGGGCTTGGGATAATCTCAGAGACTCTCCCCTGGTTCTCAGACCGGTGACACTTAGAAAAATAATTGATATCAACTGGTTCTGGGACCGGTCCTCCCGGAGGTCCCAGAGCCCAGCAAGGGGCCTGAATCCCGGCTTGGGATCCTCAGAGAGACTCCCCTCTTGTCCTGGGACAAGGGGGTGTGCCTGGTACTACAAGTCAAAACACTAAGTAGAAAAAATTCAATACAAGTCTCAGCCCGGGAGTCCCGGGCTGAAACCCCCGGGCTCACGCTGCTGCCCAAAAAGGTGAGGTCAAACCAGGTTGTCCAAGGGACCTATATGGGGAATATAGGGAGCGGGTGGTCCTGGACAACCAGTGGGGTCACTTAGGTTGCCGCGGGTCCTCATCCACATCGCTTGAGGCAGATTTCGATCGTTTGTCACAGGGTCACTGGGTTACCCCTCATAAACTCATCCTCATCTCCGCTGGAGGCAGATTCTGGATTTGGAGTCTGTGGTTGATTGGATGTCTATCTCAAATTTCCCTCACGGTACTTGTCGACTATGGCCTTCACAGCCCTCCGGTCTCAGAGGTCTCAGGGGTCTGGCTGCTCACAGCTCACCCTCATCACCGCTGGAGGCAGATTTCGATCGTTTGTTGAGAGGGGGGCCTCCTTTTTTCACTTTTTCACTTTTTCACTTTTTGGGCTGCTTCACGATCTGGGACCCCAGTTTGAGGCCTCATTCCCGGGTTCTTCTGGATCCACTCTCTCTCTCCCGGGACCCCCAGTAGTACCAGGGGCCTATATGGGGAATATAGGGCCTACAAAGCCCCAGACCTCCGGGGACCTCCAGTGACACCCCATGGTCCCTGGAGGTCTCCAGGCCGGGTTTGGGGCCTCATTCCTGGGGTTGGAATAATCTCAGAGACCCCCCCTGGTTCTGAGACCGGTGACACTTAGAAAAATACATGATATCTACTGGTTATGGGACCGGACCTCCCGGAGGTCACAAAGCCCATTATGGGGCCTCATTCCCGGCTTGGGATAACCTCAGAGACCCCCCCTTGGTTCTCAGACCGGTGACACTTAGAAAAATACATGATATCCACTGGTTCTGGGACCGGACCTCCCGGAGGTCCGAGAGCCCAGTATGGGGCCTCATTCTCGGCTTGGGATGACCTCAGAGACCCCCCCTTGGTTCTCAGACCGGTGACACTTAGAAAAATACATGATATCTACTGGTTCTGGGACCGGTCCTCCCGGAGGTCCCAGAGCCCAGCAAGGGGCCTGAATCCCGGCTTGGGATCCTCAGAGAGACTCCCCTCTTGTCCTGGGACAAGGGGGTGTGCCTGGTACTACAAGTCAAACACTTAGAAAAAATTCAATACAAGTCTCAGCCCGGGACTCCCGGGCTGAAACCCCCGGGCTCACGCTGCTGCCCAAAAAGGTGAGGTCAAACCAGGTTGTCCAAGGGACCTATATGGGGAATATAGGGAGCGGTGGTCCAGGACAGCCAGTGGTGTTGTTTGGTTTTCTCCGGCCTCTGTGGTTCACCTTTCCCTCACGGTACTTGTCAACTATGGCCTTCACAGCCCTCCGGTCTCAGAGGTCTCAGGGGTCTCGCTGCTCACACCTCACCCTCATCACCGCAGGAGGCAGATTTCGACCGTTTGAGAGGATGATCACTGGGGATGATCACTTTTTCGCTTTTTGGGCTGCTTCACGATCTGGGACCCCAGTTTGAGGCCTCATTCCCGGGTTCTTCTGGATCCACTCTCTCTCTCCCGGGACCCCCAGTAGTACCAGGGGCCTCATTCCCGGGTTGAGACCTCCGGGGACCTCCAGTGACACCCCATGGTCCCTGGAGTCCCAGAGCCCAGTATGGGGCCTCATTCTCGGCTTGGGATGCCCAGAGAGACCCCCCCTTGGTTCTCAGACCGGTGACACTTAGAAAAATAATTGATATCAACTGGTTCTGGGACCGGACCTCCCGGAGGTCCCAGAGCCCAGTATGGGGCCTCATTCCCGGCTTGGGATCCTCAGAGAGACCCCCCCTTGGTTCTCAGACCGGTGACACTTAGAAAAATACATGATATCAACTGGTTATGGAAACCGGACCTCCCGGACCTCTGAGACCCCCCAGGAGGTCCGAGACCCCCGGAGGTCTGAGACCAGAGGCCGGACCTCCGAGACCCGGCCCCGGACCTCTGAGACTGGCCCCGGAGGTCTGAGACCCCCCCGGAGGTCTGAGACCAGAGGCCGGACCTCTGAGACCCGGACCCAGACCTCTGAGACTGACCTCGGAGGTCTGAGACTGGAGTTGTTCTGTCTGATATTACAGACCACTTTCCCATTGTGCTTTTCACAGATCTGGAAACAAAATCAAACAAAACAGTCCTTAAGGAGAAAATTAAAGTATTAACTGAAACAAATGTGTGTGCACTTTATAATGACCTTAAATGGAAAGGATGGGATGCTGTGTATCTCAGCACAACTCCAGACGATGCCTACAATGCTTTCATTAAAACAATCAGACAGTATTAACACCACTATTCCAGAAAGAATCATGAAAAGTGCTTCAGGTAAGCAGGAACAGTGGCTTACTAAAGGCTTACGTAAATCCATAAAAAAGAAAGATAAATTATATAAAATGTATATGAGTGATCAAACTCATGAAAACAAAGACATATATATTAAATATAAAAATAAATTGACACATTTAATAAGAATAGCAAGACGTAACAGTAATGCTCAGGAAATTAGGGCTTCCCATGGAAATCCAAAGCAATGCTGGAGGGTTCTAAATAAGGTTCTCTCTCGGGGCCAAATGCAATCAAAACAATGAAGATTTAGCCAACAGTTTCAACAATTATTTTAATTCTATTGGAGAAACTCTCGCTAACACCATACGTCCTCCAGGGGGTGCTACGTATCATCAATACTTAAAAGGTAGTTACTCCAAAGCCCTAATCCTGGAACCAACTGACAAATCTGAGGTTCAAAGAATTATTACAGGCATGAAAAGCTCCTGTACAGAAGGAGTGGATTCAATCTGTAATAAAATAGTAAAATATATAGAAAAAGAAATTATTGACCCTCTCGTCCATTGTATAAATCTCTCGCTGCAATTTGGAATAGTGCCAAAGAAAATCAAAACTGCTAAAATCATCCCAATATTTAAGTGTGGGGACAGGAATATTATGGAAAATTATCGACCCATATCAATACTGCCCTCCTTTTCTAAAGTATTTTAACGGATTGTATATGATAGGCTCAGTGGGTACTTAAATAAAATGTGTATTTTAACTTCATGTCAGTATGGTTTTAGGAAACAGAGCACAACCTGAGGCTATTTTAGATCTTGTTGAAAAAGTAAATGATGCTATTGACAAAGGCGAGTGTGGAGTTGGTGTTTTCCTTGATTTGTCAAAAGCATTCGATACCATCAATTTTGATATATTGCTGGGGAAACTTGAGCATTATGGTGTCAGGGGTGTTGCCCTTGATTGGTTCAGAAGCGATCTATCTGAGAGAGAGCAATATGTACAAATAAACAGTTACAAATCTCAAAACAACTTATATACCATTAGACCCACACAAACCTGCTGCAGAACTTAAGACCTCCAATAGCTATAAGAAGATAGCTGGAGAAGCTATCACAGAAATGGTGGAGTTCTTCAGAGATATTTTGAAGGCACTCCCACCTGAAGACTTACGCAGACCAAGTATCGTCAAGCAGTCTTTGGACAGGACTGAGAAGTTTGAAGTCTTGTTTCAGGATCTTGATTTCCTCATGACCTTGCTTCAACAGGCTATTGATCATGTGAACAATACAGAAAAAGAAGTACAACTGGTCACTTCTCTGACAAGATTCGGACAAAAACAGGACTTCTGTGAATACTTTGGATTTTTGAGAAGAAAGCATGTCAAATCTATGTCTGTACACTTGGCCTGCACTATCACTGCTAAAGACCCTGACATACATTTATTGTGGTCGCGTTATGGACTACAAGATCTAGTAGGCTCACACTGCAATTTGTTCAGTGTACTGGGGATGCACGAAGCCGTTAATGTGCAAACACAGCTGGACAAAAAAACGTTTACAATGGATGAAAGGTTAACCAACGTATTCCACTGGACGCCAAAGACATTTGTTCAATTTGATGTAAACTCCCCACACTGTAGCTTTAGTCTGTCTCACTTCCATCCAGTCAGTGGGATAATAGCTCTGTGTGACTTGCAACACCCAATAAGCAAAAAATACATGATGAATGCTGCAGAGGATTACATTGAACGTGTGCGAGACTTTGAACTCAAAATGCAGGGACAGTTAGGCTCACGTCTTGAGTATGTGACCGTTTTTGATAAGAGCTCTGGGATACCTGAATTCATTAGGGCTGAAGACTATTTCAACCATGTCGCCCTGGAGGATCTGATTTCCTTAAGCCCTGTTCTTTTGCCATTCAAAGACAGAGTTGAGTGTGGGCTCACAAAGGTGATTTCACAGTGCCTTGAATAGATAGTGTAAGTCGTAAAAGCTTGACTCACAGAAGGGGTTTCTTAGGGTTGGAGCCCTGCAATAGTGCCTCTGTAGGGGACCAACCCCCTCCACTGACCACGTGGACAAGCAATAAGCAGCTTGTTGCAAGGGTGGAGAGGGTTTTTCCGATAGCTGACACCCTGCATGCACAACCTGCAGTAGCAGGTGTCATGCTCATGAATATTGTGTTGGACGACCTGTATTCAGGAAGCCTGTGTGGGATCCCTTTGGCAGGGCTCAAAGCGGAAAGTCTGTCCCCTGGACACACTCTGCTGGGAGGCCTGACCTATGAGGCACTGGCCGAGAATCTGGCCAAAAAATACAATTTCTCCTTTCCACACACCTTCAACAGGGTTAAAGAAATGGTTTCAGCCGCTGGCCTGAACATTGTTGAGTGCCTCAAGTTGGGGATGGAGGATATGAAAATGAAATATTTCCCAGTTTTAAAACTCACTGACCCACACAAAAACTATGTTGTGCAGCGTGTGGCAAATAAATACATGGCCATATACCCAGCCACAACAAACCCCCCCAAGGAGGCACAGATTGCCAGTTTGACTGGGGAATTTGTATGCATTTGGAAGAGAGGGGATTGTGCTACCAATCCAAACTCGAGAGATATAGGATGTTTGGCATGCCGTGGTTGGAACCAGTTCTGCGGAGACTACCGGAGATGCAAAAGGAGCAGAGGCTCACACAGCTTACGTTTGTCAGCTGTGTGGCTCTCCGCATGAATGGAGACTATGTTGACTACAACAGAATGAAGGATCTTGCCCAGGAGATGCTCCTAACACAATCGGCCATGAAAAAACTCACCATTCAAGGGCATGAATTGCTGGAAAATTTCAATGCCTTTACAGTTTTGAAGTTGAATAAACATATTCCCTACCGGCTTCTCAATATACTGCCATCCGGGAAAAAACCTGTTTCCAAAACCTTAGAGGAACCACAGAAGCAATCATGTGATTTGGATCGGTGCGAGGAGGTGGAAGACCAGGTTCCATGCATCAAGTCTGTCAGCAGGGTGCTTCCAAAAGGCATGAGAGTGGCATGGAGTGAACTTGAGATCAAGCTGGTAAATACAGACAGCAACATTACCCACAGACAGGCCTACAGCAGATATTTAAAGGTCTGTGAGGAGACTAACCTCCAAATCAGAACATATCTAGCCTTCACAAAAAAGAGAAGGCAATTAATGACTGATACTTTATAAAGATTGTGTGTTCTGTGTGTTCTTAGTTGTTGGATAAGTTAGTGTTAAGTGTTAAGCAGTTGATATCAAGTTTGTAGGTAGCAGAAATTAAAAAACAATAAAACAATAATAATTTGAAAAAAAAAAAAACACAAAAAAAACATCCCCCACATGGACTCTGCCTTGTCGTGGCGTGGGGGCTTAACTGCCTCTGTGGTCCTGTGGAATGTGGAGATTGGGATACCTAGCAGGACTATTGACCAAGTGGGTAGTCTCAATCCTCACAGTCCAATGAACCAATGAGGCCAAACCAAAGAGTCCAAATCCTAACTCATCAAGCCAACCATTTCACAGACTTTGGCACTTAATAAAAGGACAGGTATGGGTCACAGGGGCCCGGTATTGGTTTATGGTCAACAAAAATTGTCAACATTTTGGTTGTTTTACTTTTTAGTTGTTTTGCTTTGTTAACTTGGTGACGTCATTAGTGAGGTCACCTGCCCTTCTCTCCCCTGCATCTCCGCTCCTTGTTAGACCACCCATGTGCATGAGCCAATGTAAGTGTGAGAGTTTGTAAGTATTATCATAATAAGTGTATTTCTGTAACTTTCCCTTTGTTTGCATATTACCATGTGTATGTTCGAGTGTGTTTAGTAGTTTATTATTATATGTATCTGATTTTTCTGTAAATAGTTTATAGTGTCTGCTAATAGGGCTCTATCCATGTTTTTTTCAGATCACGTGTTTCATTCAGTCAGGTATTTCCAATCGTTTTCCATCGCTATAGTTTCAATAAAGTTACTTTTTCTTATAGCGCGAGCGTGCGGCCACTACTAGTGTGTTGGCGCGGTGCGGCCACTAGAGGGAGCCAAAAGTAAGCAAATAACTCCCAGATCCCTCACCTCTTTTCACCTGTTAATGCCTTAAAATTTGTAAATAGTTATTTGTATAATTTTAAGCTCGCTTTTTGTTATTGTTTTCTTATATTTGTGAATATTGTAAGTACTTTTTTCCACCATCATGTAAATATTATAAAATGTTTGAAAATATGTCAAAACTTTTTGTCATCAATGGACTTAGGTCCGGACGCCGAGACCCTTTTCTCTGGACCTGCGTGATTTTTTTTTTGGTCAAAAAATACATTATTACAATTAGGTGTCAAATTATCACCAAAAGCGATTTATAAACAGGTAGACGCGAGGGCGGCTATGTGGGGAGCGGGTCCTTCCACGGAGCAATCAAAATAACTTTAGCAGTGTCGGAATCCGAGTGAGAATCAGAGACGTGAAAGCAACGGGAATGAGCGCTGTGTACGGAACGATGGACGCTCGCGTTCAGCTGCTCACACTGCCTGTTTATGAGCGGAGGAGGAGAAGAAGGAGCGAGACAGAGGTGTGTGAGGAGGAGCAGCGAGGAGGAGCGAGACAGAGGTGTGTGAGGAGGAGCAGCGAGGAGGAGCGAGACAGAGGTGTGTGAGGAGGAGCGCGAGGAGGAGCGAGACAGAGGTACACATCAGAAACATATTAAAGCATTAACAAACAGCGCATGCCCTACTTAAGTGCTCACAGTAGACTGTGTTAATGCAAGTGCAGTGGATTTCGGGCATAAAGAGCTTTGTAATGGTCAGAGTGAGTGGAGGCGATGGCAAAAACTTTATTTGATAGAAAGAAGCAGTTCAAAAACGATACCCTTATCCTCCGCAATTAACATGTGTTCCACACTCTGCTCTGAGAGTTTGGGAGAGGTTTGTGGTGTGTTCTGTAGAAATAAACAAAGTAGATTAATGTTGAATTATTATCAATGAATTGAAATATACACACCTATCTTTAGATTTTTTTTACAAATAGTTCTTACTACTGTAGTCGTTGTTGTTGAAGGTTTCAAATAATTTAATATGGAAGAAATAGCTTGAACGGATTTCTATTAAATAAATATTTGTATGATGTCCGGACCCTAATCTATTGAACTCATCAAGTAAGTGGACCTCATGCCAATTTAATTGGGGACCCCTGGTTTATAGTGTCTGCTAATATGGCCCTATCTATTACTACTTTTTCTGATCACGTTTCACTGAGTTATGTATTTCCCATCGTTTTCCATCGCTATAGTTTCAATAAAGTTACTTTTTCTTATAGTGCGAGCACGCTGCTACAAATAGTGTGTTGGCGCGGCGCGGCCACTAGAGGGAGCCAAAGGCAAGCAAATCATTCCCAGATTTCTCTCCTCGTTCTTTTCAACTGTTATATTTGTAAATAGTTATTTGTATAATTCTAAACTCACTTTTGTTATTGTTTTAGTTTCTTAGGCAAAAAATAATATTTGTAAATATTTCTCGCTGTCCCATTTATTTCAATGCGGAACTTAAAACGTTTATAACTCCAGAACCAAAGGTCCTAGAGACTTGAAACCTTGATCCGTCAGACATAATTCGGGTCTTCTGAACACGCCAGTCTTGGGTCCCGAGACTTTACAACTTTCGGTTACGGAGATACACAAAAAACAAAGTTTTTTTGGCAGATATCGCGAGAATGGAAAGTCCCACAGTAGAAAGGCTGGCACCATTTGAAAGCCAACCTCATGGAATGGGGGGGTACATCTTGATTTCAATGCTCTACGACGTTCCGTTTCTGAGATAGGAGCCCTCAAACCTCTATGGGAGGGGGTCCCATGAGTGGTTTCTTACCCCCTATTCTAACCCTAACCCTAACCCAAAATTGGGGTCACACAACCTTAATCATCCTAAAAGATCATTACACGGGAAAACTGGAAGACATTTTGAGAGAATTGGCCACTGACTTACCCATCCATCCATCCATCCATTTTCTACCCTTTAATCCATTTCTGAGATATGAGCCCTCAAACTTCTATGGAACGGGGTACCATAGGTGGTTTTTTACCCCCTATTCTAACCCCAACCCAGGATCAGTGAGTAAACTTCTAGTAAACATACAGAAAACAACATTTAACATATTTCATTTTATTGTATATGCAAATAGATTTCTCTTGAAGAATTGCGGCTGGGGTGGAAAATGTTATGAGTGTAGTGTGTATTTGAATATCGTGTAGTGTGGTAATACTTGCCATAGTATTGGTAATACTAGACATATTATTCTTAAACTGTAGCAAAGTGCACTAGTTCTATCTTGATTTGAGTCTATTTGAACATGTTTGGCCAACGGAAAAGGCAGGAATGTTTGGACAAAAGACAAGATAAAAACATCCTATTTGAAGCCATATTCTCACTTAGATTTTGCCATTTTTGGCAGTGTGTTTGCAAGTTACACCAACATTTAATGTTTTCTTTTTTAGTCTTTGGTCACTGGTGTACCCAGCGTAGAAAACGTACATGCACAACTTTATGTAAAAAAATAAAACAGACATGAGAGAAAGAAGGGAAAAAACTTGTCCACCACCACACTTTCTTCCATTAACACTGGAACTCCGAGAGCAGTCAATTTGACGGGTTTTAGTTTTTGATGCATAATAATTCAGGCTATGTACAATTTTAGTCATAAAAAGGTATTTTCGGATGCTTGGTAACCAACTTTTTCAAGATGTTGATCCCGGACTGGTCCTGAGTCAAAATGGCATCTCTGGGAGCTCTAGTAGTTTAGTGTTGGTGCTAAAGACAAATGTCAACAGATATTGGTTGCTTTTGGTCAGGCTCATCATCTGGGACCGGACACTCCACAGAAACTCCATCTCCCAGAGTCCTTTGAGCACGCAAACCCCTCCGCCGCGATAAGGCAGCAACCTCGAAGGGGGATGAATGGGAAAGGGGAGGACCACCTGTGCTAGACTAACAAGGGCAGTTTAGTGCAGGCGGTCCAGGGCAAGGGTGAGGGTCAGGGGGCTGAAGATCTCCTGAATTGCGAGTGCAATTTCTCCTTAAGCGAATGAACAATAAAAAGAGTAAAATGGTCAGTAATAAAGTAGCAGAAATGAGACCGTAGAGCGGCCTCCTGGGGGGGTTGTCTTCCACCCGCTGATCCCGGTTGTTTCCACCACTTAGATCTGTGTGGGAAAAAATATACATTTGTTTAGACATGATTTAAACAACAATCATAGAATTATATTATATGTATATATGCAAAATAGACACCATTTTCCTGCAAAAATGTGTGTGTGTAGATTGGATTCATATCAGATTTTTTCTTCATTCAATCCCTTTTCAAACCATATAGAGGTTTTTCTAGTTATTATTATTACTATTGCTAATTAATGTGTTAATTAATGTTAAAAATGATTAATTATTAACCCTTATGTGATTGTGAAGAGTGACATGAAGTGAGAGAGTGCTGCTCTGACCTTTGACCCTCAGCTCAACAACATAGCGGGACTTCAGCTCAGTGCGGCCCCCCGCTGAGCCCCCCGCAGGGCCCCTATTCAGCGCCATGCAAATGTACTGGCCCGAGTCGCTGGAGCTGACGTTGACCAGCTCCAAGTCACAGGCGTGTGGCTGGGGGCCCCTGAGATGCACGCGGCCCCGGTACCGCGGATGCATGTACACAGTCCGCTTGTCGTACACGTAGCCGTCGTGCTTCAGGTCAACCCGCAGCCACTGTAGCAGCAGCAGCGGGGAGGGGGGGCAGGGGCAGGGGAGCACGGACAGGCTGCCAGAGGAGGTGTTCACCCACACTGAAGGAGACAAACTGGGTCAGACATGTTGTAGACACACAACCAGAGCAGGAAAGTAACGACATATTATTACTCAATTACTCGTCACTTGTCCTGCAATCAGACACTTTGTTTTAGCCGCTAATTTGCTGTAGTCTGTAAATCGACCACGAGATGGCGACAAATCACTGGTATCATAAAAAGGACCCAAAGACTTTAAACGATATGTGGAACAACTGATAAACTTGCAATTTTGTATTTCTGTGGTGAATGTAATCTTTAGAGATGTAAATGTCATCTTAATGAACTTTAAATTCAGCAAAGATTAATTACTCTGCTTGTCACTCTTCCTGCTATGAGAACTTCTTACTGTACGCCGCCATGCTTCCCTGTCGGCATGTACAACATAAGGCGCGCAGGCCAACAGCGGCCCTCTATGTCATTGAATGTGGCCCTCTGCCTTTCTTACACAATGTCTTGTGAGATCATAAACACAAGTTCACGGTGTCATCCAGCTAACTTCAGCTCAGCCAACATAGGCATGCTTTATCTCGTTGGAAAGAACCTCTCGAATTCAGCCGTTTACCTCATTTGCATAAATAATGAAGTTAAAAAAAAGATGTGAAATAATAGACCATTGTGAAGCAGATGAACTCAAGAGGAGAAATGTATAAATATAATTGTCTGTAGTACCAATTAATCTTATATGTTGTGATGGATTGTTTACGTGTTTTTCCATAGCTACCTTCCTGTTTGTAGTGAGTATAGACTATCCCTAACCACAGAACAAGGACCTACAGGCGACAAATAAAGCCTCTATGATCTCAACTTTGAGATTAAGAGATCCTGGATTCGTCCCACAGCGTCCCACCACAAGTCATAACACAAACAATTCTTCTCATTTCCGAATATAGAAATACATAATAGCACGGAACCAATCATTTAAAGCCAGAGAACTTCATGAGTAATAATTAAATAGTAATATAGAAATTGTATATTTACCTGGAGACTCCCGCGTTAAGGCTAGGCTCCATAAAACCGGGAGAAAGAATACCAGTGGCGCAGATGTCGAGGCCATTGGTTCTTTACTTTACTTTGTATGGAGCAGCTGAGGGTGCGGTGGTGGAGCGAGGAGTACCGGGAGAGCACGCCTTATATAAAGAAAGCAGAGCAGGGGTGGGGCTCTGGGCAGGGAATTACATCATTACAGATAGATTGTTCCAGTACAGGTGTGTCACACTGGTTCGGGAAAGGTGTAGGAGTTTCTAGAAGGAGGAGTGTACCAGACTCCATTTCCAAGTGAGTTTAGTCTTAACCTGAAGACAAGAGGGGTAAATAAATGGACCAAGCTAGCCCAGTAACTCAATGAAACCCAATAGGGACCAGATATGATTATGATTCAGATTCATTTTATTTGCCATTTGCAGTAAAAAAAAAAAAACACACATTGGAATATATTAGCAAAAGTCTCCAGTGTGCACAGACAAATACAGACATAAAACATTAAAAGTACAGAAAAAAAACAAATAAAACAGACAAATGTCATTGTGAAATCAATCGACTAAAACAGTATCAATACAAAGAAAGAACATTAAAGTGCTCTGTTCAAACAGATAACAGCTTGTGGGAAGAAGCTGTTACCATGTCGAGATGTCCTGCATCTCAGAGAGCGATATCTTCTGCCAGAGGGAAGAAGCTGGAACATGGTGTAACAATAATTAAAATAATAGTGTTAGGGATAGTTAATGCAATGGTGGAAATATGACTGACAGAAAAAACTAGATTCGGTATGAGAGCTTGTGGGAATGGAGACACGGAAAGAAGTATAACTGTATAAATAATAATTTGTATTGACAAAAATGTTGTAGACAGACAAAAAAATTATTAGACCTTTGGACATAAACAACACAGGAAAAAAAAAAAACCGATGAAAAAGAAAAAAGTTGACACACAACAAAAAACCTTAAACCTTTATGGTTTGAGTTCAGGTCCGTTCTTTGCTTAGAAAGCAGAGTTCAGTTTTTAGTTTTTTAGTTTCTTGTAATTTAGGTTGAAGTACTCAGTTTAGTTCAAAAACAAAGTTCAAATAAATTTTAATCCGTGTGGAAGCAAGAAAAAATATAATCCAAATAAAGGTGTCCTCTTGTACGGGTAAACGTTGGAAAAAATATATAAAGAGGTCCTACCAGTTGGTTGGTTCGTTTAGGGCTCAGCTCGCCACCTCTTACGAGGAATAGTGTTCAGGGTTCAGGGTAGGGAAAAAAAACCTGACCTAAAACAGAGGTCAAAGGAAAACAAATTCCATAAATAAATAGTTCAATTATTTCTGTATTAAATAAAATAATTCTAGGCAGTACTTCAGTTACTAGTAACATTTTAAATCAATAATATCATTAATGCATTAATTTTTGATCAGTTTCAATATATTAAATCACACGTTGCGCAACATCCAATCAGGCTACTGCAGCCGTAGCTCATTTGCATAGGAGCGCTGGGAGCTCCGCTCAATAGGCAAGGCAAGGCAAGTTTATTTGTATAGCACAATTCATACACAAGGCAACTCAAAGTGCTGAACAAAACAAGAAAGCATTAAAATCATAAATAATCACAGTGCATTAAAAAAAAAAAGATAAAAATATAAAATCCCTCAGTTGTAGCACAGCTAAACAGAACTGTCTTTAACCTGGTTTTAAACATTGTCAGAGAGGAGGCCTGTCTCACATCTTCAGGAAGACTGTTCCAGATTTTAGCAGCATGAATCTGAAAAGCAGCCTCCCCATGTTTAGTTCTGACTCTGGGCACTAACAGGAGTCCAGTCCCTGTGCTCCTCAGAGTCCGGGCTGGTTCATATGGGACTAACATGTCACTAATATAGTTTGGTGGGCTAAAATTGATGGGAAGATGGATGGAGCCAAATACAGGACCATTCTGGAAGAAAACCTGTTGGAGTCTGCAAAAGACCTGAGACTGGGACGGAGATTTATCTTCCAACAGGACAATGATCCAAAACATAAAGCCAAATCTACAATGGAATGGTTCACAAATAGACGTATCCAGGTGTTAGAATGGCCAAGTCAAAGTCCAGACCTGAATCCAATCGAGAATCTGTGGAAAGAGCTGAAGACTGCTGTTCACAAACGCTCTCCATCCAACCTCACCTAGCTCAAGCTGTTTTGCAAGGAAGAATGGGAAAGAATTCCAGTCTCTCGATGTGCAAAACTGATAGACATACCCCAAGCGACTTGCAGCTGTAATTGCAGCAAAAGGTGGCGCTACAAAGTATTAGCGCAAGGGGCCGAATAATATTGCACGCCCCACTTTTCAGTTTATTTGTTAAAAAAGTTTAAATTATCCAATAAATTTCGTTCCACTTCACGATTGTGTCCCACTTGTTGTTGATTCTTGACAAAAAATGTAATTTTTATATCTTTATGTTTGAAGCCTGAAATGTGGGGAAATGTTGAAAGGTTCAAGGGGGCCGAATACTTTCGCAAGGCACTGTATTTATTTCAGTGCCTATTTCAGTGCGTATACATTTTGTGTATGGTTACACAAAATGTAACCATATTATGTAACAGGAAAGGCAGATCTTTGATATGTCTTAAATACCCAGCCATCAAAGCCTTTGGGCACAACGTTTTGAACACAAAGTTGTAATAGAAAATAAAAAAATAAAAAAGTATAATAATTAGTAATGAACGGTTAGTGATTATCCATTAGTCAACTGTTAATCAATTAACGATTTAGACCCCAATGTCAGTGAGATCATAGAGAGGCGAATTATTTTGCTTTATTTAGGACTTTCTGACAACTGTGCGTGGTGTTATGAGAAGCTCAGGTTTCAAGTTTCGTTTTAGGTTGAACTAGGGAAGAAACAGGGTATCTGAGCGTAAGCGGGGGAAAGGGAGGGGGGCTGGTGGTACACGGGGAAGCGAAACTGAAGTGTACTGTTAAGAATCAGCCAAAGTCTGGGATCGTGTCTTTCATTCAGACAGAAGACATGTTTTATTGTCAATGGTAGACTCCCGAACAAGGATGTAAGAAAATGCAGGTGTTTGCCACTGTGTGCTTGTAGCTTCAACCTTGAGATAACCAAAACAAGTAGTGGAAAAGTACAGGCTTCTGCACATGGTTAGAATGATGAGTTTAACTTTAACAAAAGTTGCTTCAAAGAGTTATGAAATCTCACAGTACGCAAATATTTTTATTAATAACATGAATGTTATAATTATGTTACGTTGCTTCCGTCTTGAGAAGCACAAGGATCGACCTCGTCAGCTTTCTATCTCCGTAACGGCCACTCCACGGCTCTTTCCGTAGGTAGTGTTCGGCTATCTCCGTCGCTCCTCGGCTCTTTCCGTAGCTAGCGTTCGGCTATCTCCGTCACTCCTCGGTTCTTTCCGTAGCTAACGTTCGGCTATCTCCGTCGCTCCTCGGCTCTTTCCGTAGGTAGTGTTCGGCTATCTCCGTCACTCCTCGGTTCTTTGCGTAGCTAACGTTCGGCTATCTCCGTCGCTCCTCGGCTCTTTCCGTAGGTAGTGTTCGGCTATCTCCGTCACTCCTCGGCTCTTTCCGTAGCTAGCGTTCGGCTATCTCCGTCGCTCCTCGGCTTTCACACGGGAGGGGGATTTCCATTTGCGGGGCCTCTGCACACACTACTCCTGCCGCTGCTGCTGTTTTGCTTTCGATCTGGGCTTAGAAACAGAAAAAACGCCCATACACTTTCATTTTAACACTCAAAAACTACCAATAACCACATTTAAAGCAGTTTAGATCGGACACGGTGGAGTGACAGCTGGATTTAGCCTCTCCCAAGCTAACAGGTAACTATTTCCGCGTTATTTTCGTCATAGGCTACTCTTGCAACACTACGTTACGAGCACATTGCGAGCGCTGTAAGTGAAAGTAAAGCCTCTGTTTCTGTCTCCGTCTATTTTAGTTATTTTCACTTTTCCATTCGTTGTTTGGGTTGTCGGGAGGCGGAGGCAATAACTTTGACCACAGCCATTGCCATACAAGTGCAATAAGTAATTTTGACAACTTATATACTCGTGTTTGCAAGTAATAGCTTGGGTTTCTAGTCATTATGGAAGTCACTGATTGCAAGGTAAGATTATTTAATGAAATGTCTGAGCTAAGTACTTTTGTTAGCACTATAACTTTAAAAGCAATATTGACGTGCAATATAGAACCAGATGTGTCCACTGTCACTTTACTTAGTCACAGACACTTATGCTGCTATCATGTACAGATGTATACATCATGTACAGATGTATACATCATGTACAGATGTATACATCATGTACAGATGTATACATCATGTACAGATGTATACATCATGTACAGATGTATACATCATGTACAGATGTATACATCATGTACAGATGTATACATCATGTACAGATGTATACATCATGTACAGATGTATACATCATGTACAGATGTATACATCATGTACAGATGTAAACATCATGTACAGATGTATACATCATGTACAGATGTATACATCATGTACAGATGTATACATCATGTACACATGTATACATCATGTACACATGTATACATCATGTACACATGTATACATACAACTATATATGTCTGCACTAGAGGATTTTATACTTGCTCCCTATTATGCTAAAGTCAGGGGTTTTTGTACTTAGTTTAAAATGGCATAAGTTTAAGAATTAATTGTTGACATGATTGATTAGCATATTTATTGATGGGCTTATCTTGTGCACACTGGGGACTTCGTACCGGCTATAGTTTCTTATGCATCGTGAAATGTACAGTGCAGTACAGTACTAAAACCGGTTTAAATTATAATTGAGAGTTTCCTGGTTTGTTGAAAAAGAGGAATTCGAAATATAAGGGAGGAAGCTGTTGTTTTGACTTTGTTCAGGGAAGTGTTCTGAGAAACATTGACAGATTAGCAGTAAATGTCAACATTATGTAACATACTATCTTCCTATGTAGGCAGGTGCAAAATATATTGTGTTTATACATTGTGCCCACTGTCTACATTGCAAGTTATTTGTGAAGACATATTTAAATTGTCTGCTTTACATATGCCCGGGATGTTATTGCAAAGTAGTGAAGATGTTGTAAGATAATGCATTTGCTTTCAGTGAATCATATGAGGAAGGAAAGAAAACTTGTTTTGAATATTTGCTGTACAATGCCTAGATAAATGTGCGCTATTTTGGCTCTTGTGCAGAAGCTATCCCCTGCTCCTGCTCTATGTTGTTGTCATTGCTTCGTCAGAAATGCCCCACAAAACGACATTTCTCAAACATCCATATTAAAGGCATTCTTACTGCCAGTCACTGCAATAGATTTCCTCTCGCAGCGACATCAGTAAAGTTAAGCAGTGTTTTTAATGTTACAGTGGATCTCTTCTCTTTTAAGATTCCATTTATTTTCTTGTCTTTATAACTTTGCAACTATGCACTTATATATCAGTGTATTGTTGAGCCAGCCAAATCACATAGACTTGAATTCATGATTTCAGTGTGACTTTGCAGTGTGACTGGATAGTTTTCAGAGGTTCATTTTATGTATTTGTATTTTGTAATTGAGTTTAATCTTTCATCTTGTAGACTTGAGCTATGAGACCTAATATTTATGGACATTTATTAACATGTATAGACATTGGTCATCCCACTCCCCATGGACCAATGGGTTTGTTGTTATTGCATTTCCTGTGCTTGAACAGTTTGATTCTCTATACTTTTGTTAGCGAATCGACAACTTTGTGAAGTCCTTTGAGATGACTCCTGTTGTGTAGGTAATATGTGGTATTTGCCTAGCATTGGTCTGCACCACCTGTGAGTGTTGGATCTTGGGCGAAGGAAAAATAGTATTAGATTATCCCTAGTTATAATGTATTTGTAATTAACAGTAAATGAACAATAATCAGTAAATGAACAATAATATGATAGAGAGTGGCGTTTCAACTGTTTCCATAATGAGTGTGTGTTTGTTTCACAATGAGTGCAAGATGTAGGTGACCTGTGTGTGAGTAATAGTAGAACCTACAGTTGTAATAGTTGTGCGTTTTGTAAAATACAGTGTGAGTTAATACAAAAGGTTCATTTCTAAAAAAACGATAGTGAATCGATTGAATCACGACAAATTGATTATTGAATACTTTTTCTACTAGTTTAATGATTTAAAGGATTTAAATAAAGATAACAGTCTTTGGTCTGTATGTCATCCGCACGCTGTGATCCCGTGCCACAGTTTGAGAATCACTGTCCTCGTCTCTGGCTTTGTTACTTGTTCTTGTTCGAGTTTGTTGAGTGCGTTATCGCGAAACAAAGGTCGTCATGTTTTATGCTTTTACCGCACGTTTATCTTTACAACCGCAGACTATTTCATTGATTTGTGCAAGAGACAAGAATGCAACTAAGATTCAGACGTGTTGAGTTTTCATGTTTTATAAATATGCATATTCAGTCTTTCTGAACGGAAAGGCCTCACTAAAAATTCACCCACAATCTGTATCTGGTTCTCGTTTTTTGGGTTATTGCTGGAATTATTTTGAGGGCTATATCAATTGCTCAACTCGGCCTGTCTGTCACAATATCTTGATTCTGATGGACGGTATATTGATTTTGATTAGGAAATATCAGAATTCCTTTTATGTGAGTAACGGGAAGCGACAAACCAGAAAATTGGTTTGGCCATTGGTACAAACAAGTTAAAAAGTAATCAATGGAATAAGGCATGCATTAAATACAAATCTAAATACAATTTCCTAAAATTAATACTATGTAAGCACAATATAGCATGCTAATCCCACTAGTAGCATTTTTTTCATTTGTTTCTTCATTAAGAGAAATAAAATAAAAGTGAGAATCAAGTAATAGTTAGAAATATTGATCACTCTCTATATGGAAATAGAAAAAAAACTCTTCACTTCTAAGAAAAATGTACAGACTGGTATTATTGAGGCTCACAATAGTTGGGACAATCATCTCTTTTGATCTTTTAACATTGTTCCTTCATGAAAAATCAAAAACACATTTTCTTTTTAGCTCCACACTAATATTATGAGCCCCATCTGGGTTAATGTCCTGTGTTTATCCACCTCTGTACGCTATGGCAAATACTCTGACATCACGGGCAGAAACAAATATTTGTGTGGCGCAGAGAAAAGCCCTGAATAAAAAAAAAGAGGACTTACTTTCTGCTGAGAATCAGAATCAGAATCATTTTTATTGCCACGTAAGTAAGGAGGTCACAGACTAGGAAATTGCTTTGGCTCAGTGCAACAGTCAAAAAGAGATAATAAAAATAAGAATAAAAAACACTTCTAAAGAATAAATTTAAATTTAAAATAGAGTTACAGTTACTATTTACAATATACAAGTGCACATGGTGCACACAATGTAAGGTGACAGCAGTACAGTGAAGTAAAGTGACGTATGATGGGCAGTAAAGTGACTTTATAAAGGGCGGGGGGACAGGTTAAGAAGTGTTCAAGAGTCCAACAGCAGAGGGGAAGAAACTGTTCTTGTGGCGGGAGGTTCTAGTCCTGATGGACCGCAGTCTCCTGCCTGAGGGGAGTGGTTGGAATAGTCCATGTGCAGGTGAGAGGGGAGTGGTTGGAATAGTCCATGTGCAGGTGAGAGGGGAGTGGTTGGAATAGTCCATGTGCAGGTGAGAGGGGAGTGGTTGGAATAGTCCATGTGCAGGTGAGAGGGGTCGGCTGTGATACGACCAGCCCGGCCTCGAGCTCGGGCGACGTACAGGTCCTGCAGCGATGGAAGGCTGCGGCCGATCACTTCCTCTGCAGAGCGCACAATGCGCTGTAGTCTCTGTTTGTCCCTGACTGTGGCTCCAGCGAACCACACGGTGATGGAGGAGGTGATGGAGGAGGTGATGAGGAGGTGATGGAGGAGGTGATGAGGAGGTGATGGAGGAGGTGATGGAGGAGGTGATGGAGGAGGTGAAGGAGGAGGTGAGGATGGACTCGATGATGGCCGTGTAGAACTGCACCAACATCTGTGCAGGCAGCTTGGCTTTCCTGAGCTGCCGCAGGAAGTACATCCTCTGCTGGGCCTTCTTGATGAGGGAGCTGATGGTCGGCTCCCACTTGAGGTCCTGGGTGATGGTGGTGCCCAGGAAACGGAAGGACTCCACAGAGGTGATGGGGGAGTCCATCACGGAGGGTGGGGGCGGGGGGACAGTGCTCTTCCTGAAGTCCACAATCATCTCCACTGTCTTCTGGGCGTTCAGCTCCAGGTTGTTACCACTGCACCAGGACACCAGCCGGTCCACCTCCCTCCTGTAGGAGACACCAGGACACCAACCGGTCCACCTCCCTCCTGTAGGAGACACCAGGACACCAGCCGGTCCACCTCCTCCTGTAGGAGACACCAGGACACCAGCCGGTCCACCTCCCTCCTGTAGGAGACACCAGGACACCAGCCGGTCCACCTCCCTCCTGTAGGAGACACCAGGACACCAGCCGGTCCACCTCCTCCTGTAGGAGACACCAGGACACCAGCCGGTCCACCTCCCTCCTGTAGGAGACACCAGGACACCAGCCGGTCCACCTCCCTCCTGTAGGAGACACCAGGACACCAGCCGGTCCACCTCCCTCCTGTAGGAGACACCAGGACACCAGCCGGTCCACCTCCCTCCTGTAGGAGACACCAGGACACCAGCCGGTCCACCTCCCTCCTGTAGGAGACACCAGGACACCAGCCGGTCCACCTCCCTCCTGTAGGAGACACCAGGACACCAGCCGGTCCACCTCCCTCCTGTAGGAGACACCAGGACACCAGCCGGTCCACCTCCCTCCTGTAGGCGGACTCATCGCTGTTGGAGAGAGTCCAATGAGGGTGGTGTCGTCCGCGAACTTGATCAGCTTCACGGAGTCGTGGCTGGAGGTGCAGTGGTTGGTGTACAGGGAGAAGAGCAGGGGAGAAAGAACACAGCCCTGTGGGGCTCCTGTATTTATAATCCGAGAGTCCGAGACATTCTTCCCCAGACGCACTCGCTGCGTCTGAAAAGTCAGAAAAAAATCTCACATCGTCCAATTAGCCTTCAGTCACTGCACCATGTCGGCTGATATAAGAGCGCTGGTGCATTCTGGGATAGTCTTGCACAGTTTTTCCAATGTGGTTTTACTGCAAATAGCAAATAAATTCTTGGTTGGTTTTGTGTGTACATTTTTCTCGACTCTTATGGCATTTTCCGTGTGTTTTCTGTTCATTTCACATTTTAAAATAATAAATACTAAACAGAAGTGAACACAAATAATGCAATTCTTAAGTAAATTCAACCTATGTAAGTTGCGACAAGTAAGTAGTCAGTAATTGTATTTATATAGCCCCTTTCACAGACAAAGTCACAAAGCGCTTTACAATTGTGGCCATTTGTCTCTCACTCCCCTCACAGATGGGAGCGAGGTGGCCGTACAGGAGGCCAGACCTATTGAGGATGTTTTTAGTGGTAAGGGCAAACCGAAGCACCCGGAGGAAACCTATGCACGGGGAGAACATGCAAACTCCAATCAGAAAAGCCCTGTTCCAACGGGGATTCGAACCCAGGACCTATCCACTCAGCCACCGTGCTACAACTAATTTTGATGGATTGCCTCTGAAAATGATTGTAAAAATAAAATATTATTAGTACAATGCAGCTGGATGATCCCAGTAAAGCAGTTTTTCAGATTCATCCATTGTTCAAAAAAAAAAAATAATTAACAGCAAATTTAGGTAACTTTTCATCATAATGAACCCTAAACAACTACAACATGACCATTTTAGAAAGAAAACAGCACAAATCTCTACGTATTACAACAAAAATGTGCCGATAAGTACTGTAATTTCCGGAATATAAACCGCCTCTTTTTTCTCGTTCTTTGAAACCTGCGGCTTATATGCGGCTAATATGTGTCGTTTTTTTGGGGTAGAGATGTCAGAGCAGAATTTATAGACCAGTTTTAAATCCAGTTTTAGCATCTACAGGACACTTGTTTATTGTCCAAACAGATGAATGTGAATGAGTCATCTCTGCTACATTACTACATGGAAACCTGCGGCTTATAGTCAGGTGTTGTCTTTTTGTGGACCACATTGATTTTCTTCTATAGTTTAGGTGGTGCGGCTTATAGTCCAGAAAGTACAGTATTGAGGTTTTACTGTTTAGTTTCTGAATACAACTACACTAGCCTTGTCTTGAAGGCAACATTATGATTTTAGCATTTAAGAAGTTTCTACGTAAAATCCTACCTTTCCTAAAATATGAGTTTGATTAGTTGGATATATTTTAGTATTGAGTATTCTTTCTGTCTTGTGTCTGTATCCAGGACACGATGCCAGTGGAGCGGATGCGGATGAAGCCGTGGCTTGAAGAACAAATCGAATCCGCTCAGATCCCTGGACTCAAGTGGCTCAATAAAGTAAGAAAACTGCACATCCATTATTTTTTTATTTTGTTTTTTATGTGCTGCTCAAATGAATTGCCCCTGGTGGGATAAATGAAGTAGTCTGAATCGCCAAAGCATAATTGCAAATAAATTTACAGATATAACAAAGAGAAAGTATTTTTGATTTAGATTTTTTGATTCTGCTAAACATTATAACATAAATCAACATGTTTTTCTCTTCTATAATCTTATGAAGGACACTTGCAAAAACAGTTAAATGTCTATAGGAGGATTTCCCCAAATTTTAGGAAAGAACCGCCCTCTCCACTTTTTGAAAAAATTCTCTGGTCTTGTTTGACGAGAGCATTAGAGCACTGGCCTTCGAGCCTGAAGGTCGTGGGTTCGAGCACACCACAAAACTGATGTCTGTCGTTGTGTCCTCTGGGAACAGCAGGTGCCACAGTGGGGCGGCCGTATGGGGTAAGGTTACTGTCAATAAAGACGTGCATGTCTAAAAAAAATGCGTGCATATTTATTGGTATTTGTGTATACAAATATTTTATTCACTCATGATTAAGATAATACAAACTTTTTTTTGTGTGCTTGCATTTTCTCCTTTTGAGAATACGAATTTCAGCAGTCAGCAAACTGTCAATATTACGTCACTGCTCACAGACATTAACACTCGAGCCTGCGCAGAGTTGATCCACTTCATTGCCACAAAACTAAACATGGCAAAGGGCAACAATATTAACAACGTGGCTCAAAATCAGGTATATATCTATATTTTATAATTTTGGTCGTAAATTAATGTGTAAGAAATATTAATTCCATAAAATGTGTTCATTAAAAGATGTTTCTTGTCCCTCTCTAGAAACGTTTTTTTGGCAGTGTTTATAGTTAACGCTAGCTTCAATGCTAGCTTTACAGCTTACCATGATGCTTTAAAACCAACATGTTTACATTCTTAGCATTTACATTTGATGAAGCCTTGGCCCTTAATCAAGGGGGTTAATGAGTTGATACCAGCCCTAACCGTCCAGATTATTCATATTTCGCGCTGTTACTGCCCCTGAGCAATATGAAGTTACCTCCGTGCTATACTCGTCCTTGGTTGTTAGACGTAGCATTCCCTGTGGGCCTCAATCTTATATTTGTGAGTAAATTTGACACATTACTTTTACTCAATAGTTCAGTAACACTAGTTAGTCTGTTGTTTAGCATGCTAACCAGGTTTGGCTAGTGGGACCTAGCACACAGAAAATCCAATAAGTTAGGCCTAATTAAATGGTTTATCAGATCAAAACAGATGAAATATGTAATAAAATAACGAAGTAAAATGCATTCTTTTTGGTAATAAATATAACAATACCAGAATAAAAAAACAAAACTAGCATTGGAGCTAACAATACTGCCAAAAAACGTTTCTAGAGAGGGACAAGAAACATCTTATGAACACATTTTATGGAATTAATATTTCTTACACATTCATTTACAACCAAAATGATAAAATATAAATATATACCTGATTTTGAGCCACGTTGTTAATATTGTTGCCCTTTGCCATGTTTAGTTTTGTGGCAATGAAGTGGATCAACTCTGCGCAGGCTCGATTGTTAATGTCTGTGAGCAGTGACGTAATATTGACAGTTTGCTCACTGCTGAAATTCGTATTCTCAAAGAAGAAAATGCAAGCACACAAAAAAAATCTTATTCACAAGTACAAAATCACACACAGTTCTATATATTTTTATTCTTAATTACGAAATTCCATGTCTTTTGAGTTTGTATTATCTTAATCACGAATGAATAAAATATTTGTATGCACAAATAGCAATAAATATGACCGCATTTTGTTTAGACATGCACGTCTTTATTGACAGTAACCTTACCCCATACGGCTGCGGCTGTAAAGTGCCAAACTGCCTTGCTTCTGTCATTGTGTCAGGGCAGCTGTGGCTACACTAGTGGTTTATCATCACTGTGAATGGAGTGAAGGAATCATGACGTGTGAAGTGTCTTTGAGTGTCCAAAAAAGCACTATATAAAACTGATTTATTATTATTAAGTGTCATTGGCAATCAGCTGCTAAGTCACAGAGCCCCTGATCCTGCTGCAGTCCACAAGAGGCTGCTCTGTCAGTGAGAGAATAGCCTTGATCATTCAGCGGGGGCTTCAGGCAAAGTGGGATGAAGTGTCTTGCCCAAGGACACATCGACAGCAGACATCAGTGGGAGTTGGTGGAGAAGGTCTCACCGATGGGCTTGAACCCACAACCTTCAGGCTCAAAGTCCAATGCTCTACAACTGAGCCACTGTCGCCCATAGCTACGACCAGTAAGATTAAGATCAAACAAATGACAGTTTGAATGGATCTTGACCAATCAGGAAGCAGCAGAGCTAACCAGTGCTTGTCTTCAAAAGGTTTAACTTCCTCTTTAAAGTTTTAAAAGTTTATGACATGAACTTTATCGCTGCGCACATGAAGAGCTCATATTCTGGATCCTGAGACTGTTTGATCATTTGTTTATCTTTTCAGGAAAAGAGAATTTTCCAGATCCCGTGGATGCACGCGGCTCGACACGGCTGGGACTTGGAGAAGGACGCTCCGCTGTTCATGAGATGGGCCATTCACACAGGTACAGCTCTGAGTAAAGGTACAGCACACAGGTACAGCACTGAGCACAGGTACAGCCATCCACACAGGTGCAGCTCTGAGCAAAGGTACAGCACACAGGTACAGCACTGAGCACAGGTACAGCACTGAGCAAAGGTACAGAACACAGGTACAGCACTGAGCACATGTACAGCACAGCACACATGTACCGCTCTGCACACAGGTACCGCTCTGGACAGAGGTACAGCTCTGCGCACAGGTACAGCACTGGACACAAAGTCTGTAAATCTTTAAGTACCACATTCAGAACTTTTTGATATTGTATTAATGTAATTTTGTACCCATGTCATTAAATACTGACATGGACCAAGTCTACAGGGACTTGGTCTACAGGGACTAGGTCTACAGGGACTCAACCACCCACCTGAGCTTTCGCCATCTCTCCCCCCTCCCCTCTGGAACTCTCTCCCCCCTCCCCTCTGGAACTCTCGGACTCACTAAACTCATTCAAAAAACAGCTAAAAACTCACCTCTTCCTCCAAGCATACAACTCTTAGTTTCAGCCTTGGACTCTTCTCTCCTGCTATTAGTTTTTAAACTTTGTGTCTGTCTGAGTGTGTGTGTGTGTGTGTCCTGAATTGTGAAGCGTCTTTGAGTTTTTGAAAAGCGCTATGTATTATTATTATTATTATTCCCCCACTGGGTCGTTCCTTGTTCCTTGTTCCTTGGTGACTAGAGAGACACCAGAGAGACACCAGAGAGACACCAGAGAGACACCAGAGAGACACCAGAGAGACACCAGAGAGAGACCAGAGAGAGACCAGAGAGAGACCAGAGAGAGACCAGAGAGAGACCAGAGAGAGACCAGAGAGAGACCAGAGAGAGACCAGAGAGAGACCAGAGAGAGACCAGAGAGAGACCAGAGAGAGACCAGAGAGGACATTTAGGAGGACATTTATGGACATTTATTAACATTGGTCTTCCTGCTGCCTATGGCTCCTATGTGTTTTTTATTATTACTGCATTTCTATGTGTTTGAACAGTTTGGTTTTCTGATCTGTTGTTGGTGAATTAACAACTTTGTAAAGTCACTCCGAGACGACTGCTATTTTTTAGTGCTTTATAAAAATACATTGAATTGAATTGGATGTTGGCTGCTAAATACGGTTAGGATGTTCGTTGGTTCCTCTTCATTTGCTGTTGGTGGAAAAAAATTACTCACCTCGTTACTTGATTAAGAAAGCTTTTTTTATATAACGTAGGTTTAGCTCATTATTAAGATTTTATATGGAGCCAAGGAGACAAAGATTATTATATTTGTAGAATTGAATCTCTCCCAGTGTCTATCGTTTTAAATACAAAAAGTGGAGCCAAAACAAATCTGTTCGGAATTCTTTTATGATGAGCTCTTGTCTCTTTCCCTGTTTTTGTTCAGGCAAATTCCGGCCTGGACTGGACCGGCCCGACCCGAAGACGTGGAAGGCAAATTTCCGGTGTGCAATGAACAGTTTACCGGACATCGAGGAGGTGAAGGACAAGAGCATCAAAAAGGGAACCAACGCTTTTAGAGTTTACAAAATGTTGTCGTCTTTAGAACGAAACATGAGGAAAGGTGAGAGACACAAAGCAGCAAATTGTCATCTGTATTCTCCTTTTTCTAATCTGTGATACATGGATGATTGCACGGCGTCGCACAGGCATTTTGGCACAAATGCACAAAATAAATATATATATTTTTTTATGTTTTAATCAATCAATAAATCAATTTTTATTTGTAGAGCTCCTTTCCTACACAAGGCAACACAAAGCGCCTCACAACCCACATCCTATCAGGCATAAATTATAGACATTAAAATTGACATAAACATCAACAATACAATTAAAATCCCAAAGGGCATTAAAAACACACAATGAGACCACAAGAAAATGTAAAAACATAAAATATAAGATCGCAGAAGTAGTTCAAAACATTAAAACATTAACATCTCACATTGGATTAAAATCATGATAAAAAGCCACAGTGCACCTAAAAATAAAATCTTATTCTTAGGAATACTGTTCCAAATCCTAGCTGCACAAATCTGAAATGCAGCCTCCCCATTCCTTCCTCTTTCCTACTGTTCTATAACTTGTGATGCAACACTGAAATTTTCCCACTGTGGGACAAATAAAGGATCTCCTAATCTCCATGTTTAGTTGGGAAGTCCCAGCAGGAGGCCAGTCCCTGTGCTCCTCAGAGTCCCAGCAGGAGGCCAGTCCCTGTGCTCCTCAGAGTCCCAGCAGGAGGCCAGTCCCTGTGCTCCTCAGAGTCCCAGCAGGAGGCCAGTCCCTGTGCTCCTCAGAGTCCCAGCAGGAGGCCAGTCCCTGTGCTCCTCAGAGTCCCAGCAGGAGGCCAGTCCCTGTGCTCCTCAGAGTCCCAGCAGGAGGCCAGTCCCTGTGCTCCTCAGAGTCCCAGCAGGAGGCCAGTCCCTGTGCTCCTCAGAGTCCCAGCAGGAGACCAGTCCCTGTGCTCCTCAGAGTCCCAGCAGGAGGCCAGTCCCTGTGCTCCTCAGAGTCCCAGCAGGAGGCCAGTCCCTGTGCTCCTCAGAGTCCCAGCAGGAGGCCAGTCCCTGTGCTCCTCAGAGTCCCAGCAGGAGGCCAGTCCCTGTGCTCCTCAGAGTCCCAGCAGGAGGCCAGTCCCTGTGCTCCTCAGAGTCCCAGCAGGAGGCCAGTCCCTGTGCTCCTTTGAGCCCGGGCCGGTTCATATGGGACTAACATGTCACTTATGTGCCTTGGTGCGAGGCCATGGAGAGATTTAACAACCCTTATGCAGACGTTTGTGGCCTTGTTTGAAGGAGCTGGTGAAATCAACCCAGCATTTTTTTTAAATGGGATTTAATTTCTATTCATGAAATTATTTCGGACCAATCTGTGTTTTAAATTTTTTCAAAAGACTTTGAAGACGATTAACAGATTTTTTTTTACTGCTGCTTGTGTATTTCAGGAAAAAAGAGAATCGACAAAGAGATAAGGGTGAAGAGCAAAGTAAGATTTAATGATCATTTTAAATGCTTACATGTTCAGTATATATTCATTCAACTCTATTTGCATTTTGCCATTTTTGTAATTTACAAAAACCATTTCATGGCAACAAACCTCGACTTTACCATCACTGCCATATTCTTATCAAATGTAATCAAATATCTGTTGTCTTCAAAATATGGAGGCCTCATGGCACACTGACTCGTGTTTTTATACTTATGCTTTTTATACTTCAGTCCCCAGTGTGCACAAGTACAGACATAAAACAACATTAATACTACAGAAAGAAACAATATAAAGTGTGTAAGCGCGCGGTGAGGGGTTTAACCTTAAAACAACAGACTTGCTAACCCGTAGAGCAGGTATGTCAAAGTCAAATACATCAGAGGCCAAAAAAACAAATATACTACAAGCCTGGTTCAATGTTTATTAAAACATATTCAAATAGGTATAGGTTGTTTTTTATTCTTTTCATGAAAAGGCATACATTACATACACTACACAGTATTTTGTTTCTTCTGAACTCTTCAAGCATTTCCATGATCAGAAATGATGCATTTAACTTTCTGAACCAAGACCTAACACAGTGTACCGTATTTTAGTGATTAAATTTTTGTGTTTTTTTTTTTTCAGTAATTTCAAGACATTTTCCAACAAACTCAGACAAAAACAAACTCCCTTCAAAGAGAAAACACACATCCTGAACATTAAATAAATAATCCAATATTTTCTTATGGCTCTGTGCGGCCGGGTCTAATACTAATCAAAGATCATCCCGGGGGCCTTGACTTTGACACCAATGCCATAGAGCAGGTGTCTCCGACCGATTTCACCCAGAGAGCTATTTTCCCTTGAAAATAAAGACAGAGAGCTACTCCTTTAACTCATTGTGTCCCATTGACGCACAAATACGTCAAAGCAAATAGTAACGTCGTGTGCCATTGACGCATTAATCCGTCAATTGCCTTTTTTGCTATTTTCACGTTCCCAGATGTCTATTGTATCTAATATGTATGGGGATGACTTGAGACCATATTTTATCGAGCCAGCAGGTGGCAGCATTGCTCTCTGAATGGTTTGAAAACATGTAGGTGCACATGTTGTGCCTCTTTTTTCTCAACTTTCTGGTGATTTCTGGTGATTTCAGTAAAACTTCCCTCTACTCGACGGAGGATTACAGGGGAACGAAAAAAGCTATAAACAAAATTCTTTTTGCTGAGGAAAGTAGACAGTCCATTCTTTTAGAATCTGGTGTCGGATTTCAGATAGTCATAGTACACAATATTCTGTGGGTCTTGAAAAATCAGTAAAAATCATCAGAAATGGCTGGCACTGTGGGAGTACCTGTTCTGAAATAGGCTGGCATTCAATGAGTTTTAAGCAGCTCTGGGGAAAATGTTTTGATATATTGGTGTGAACGAGCCTGATATTGGATACAGTCATTATTTACCATCGCATATTTGTAACCAGTGTCAGAGTAAGTGCATTTACAATAATAATGATAATGAGTAATACATTCTGAAATATTGAGTATATTATTTCATTGTTTATTTCTAAATCCTACAAGCTACCTGGAAGGGGGTGGCGAGCTACAGGTGGCTCCTCATCTACAGGTTGGAGACCCCTGCCATAGAGTATTTTAAAATTGAAACAGTCACCGTTTCCATCAACACGTTTTTCGGAGGAGAAGTTAAAGAGCGAACAACGGCAAACTATTCCAGTCGGTGTGTGTTTTTCAAAGTGATGTTTTGTCGTCATTCGCAGGTGTTGAGTTCAGAGCAGTTCATGTCAGAACATGGGCCCCTAGACTACACCAAACCAGACCTGTCCCGAGTCAAACGGGAATCTCCGGAAGATGACGGCGCAGCAGGTGGGACTGTTGTTTTGTAATTCTTCATCAGTTTGGCCTCATGTTGTAGACTTGTACTTCAGCTGGAGGAAAACTGCTGAACCTCGGGACAAAATGTTTGGAAGATATGTCAAAAGGTTTTTCCGATCATTATCAATCAATCAAACGATTGATTGATTGATTGATATCAGTATAGTTCATTCATAGAGATCAGACCATGCGACACGGTGGCTGAGTGGTTAGCACTCTCGCTTCTCAGCAAGAAAGTCCTGGGTTCGGGGCCATTCTGAGTGGAGTTTTTTTGCATGTTCTCCCTGTGTCAGCGTAGGTTTGTGTGCTCCGGTTTCCCCTATCACTAAAAACACGTACAAAGGTCTGGCATGTGCCTCCTGTAGGCGACCTCGCTCCCATCTCTGTGTGAAGTGAGAGACAAATGCCCACAACAATTGTAAAGTCCTTTGCGACTCTGGTCTGTGAAAGGCGCTATATAAATAAAGATACTTACTTATGTTGAAAAGTGCTATCTAAATCCCAGGCCTTGTTGGATATACAGTAACTGAATAGTATATGTCCCATCTATCTAAATATATGTTGTGTAATGAGAGGGGTGTTGTCCATTGCCGATACTATTCAATAATAAAAATTCTGATTCAAAACTATATTTAAAGATGGGTAGATAAAAGTATTCATACTGATATACTTCTATTGTATAGTATGAAGGGAATGCACCTCCAGCCTCCCTGATCAAATGATGTAATTATTTAACTTATTTTTTGGTTTCCAGCGCTGCACAGTTCGGGCGAGGGCCACATGGTTTTGTCAGAGCAGTTACCGTACGTGTGTCAAACTGTGGAAGTGACGACGGACGCGAGCGAGGAGCAGACCGTGTCGTCATCTCACTCCTACCCCCTCCAGATCTCCCCGGTCTCCTCATACGGTCAGTGCTGAAGCCGCTCGCATCATCTGTGCAGGCCATGGACCAGGGGTGTCTAACCGGTCCTTAAAGGGCCAGTGTGGCTGCAGCTTTTTATTCCAACCGGAGCAGGAGCACACCACACTCCGCCCATTTCCTTGAGTGAGTCCAGCCTAACCCTGAAGACTTGAGGAAATGGGTGGAGTCTGGTGTGCTCCTGCTTGGTGTGAATTAAAACCCGCAGCCACACCGGTCCTTTAAGAACTGGTTTAACACCCCTGCCATAGACTGTACAATTATTTTATTTCATGTATTTATTCATGCAAAACACTACAACATTTATAGCCAAGGCTAAAGTGCAATGTTTGTCCCATACATATGTAGGGTAACTAAATGCATATATGTCTTAGATGCACAGGGCATTTGGATACACTGCATATCTAAAACATATCTACACTGTAGTAACTATTCTGGATTGGAAATGTCCTTGTATCTACCTTTTTATAGGGGTGTGCTTATTCTAAGGGTGGTCTGATTAGAATAATACAGAGATACTCTATCTGAAGAGAGGGGAAAGAAAAGTCTTAAGACCTAACTAAAGAATAAGCAGTAAATCAGTCTCATAAATCTAAAAGTGTGCGTTCTATTCGCCAGAGAGTTCATTCTCCAAACTATCTACTAACTAATAACACCGGAGGCTGATAGTAATTCTAGCTGTTTATTTACAGAACGAAAACCTCAATAAAGCATAAGAATCTTTGTGTGTGAGTAGGGATGTAAAAAACTATGAATTTTCATGACCGACCACCGAGCCTCATTAACCGGTTGAAACCGGTTAACCGCGTAGTTTAAAATAGTCCACGTTCTTTGAAATAACAGCCATTTCGAGCTGCGTACTTTTCATATGTGCAGCTGAGCATTCTAATGGATCAGAGCCGAGACAGCGGCACCAAAACCCGCAACAGCTTCGGCACCTTTGCGCACAGAGAACTGCTGTTTTAATCTTCCCATTCTTCTGTGCTGCGGCTTAAAGCATTTTTAAGCAAAAGACAGCTCGTCCACATGGTCAGGGCAGCGAGTGACGAGCCGCGTCTCGCAGGTCTCCGCTAAAGTTTAAAAGTGATCAGTGTGGAGCTGATGCCAAGGACCAGCAGCACAAACATGGTCCATGTGGTTTGACTGGAGCCGTGTATTTGCAAGAATGCTTTGGGCTCCGTGACACAGAGGAGCGCGACAGACCGGTATGTGTGTGTGTACAATACATGTATGTGTGTGTGTATATTTATGTGTGTGTGTATATTTATGTGTGTGTGTGCAATACATGTATGTATGTGTGTGTAAATATAAGCTCCAATGTAGTTCTGACCCGCACCAGTGTGCAACTAGCAGACGGTAACAGAGGGGAGAGATGATGCGTGTGGATGTTACGTGTCAATGGAGGGGGGGAAATGTGTGTGTGTGTGCGTGTACATGTGTGCGTGCATATGTGGCGCGTACGGCGTGAGAGTCGGCCCAGAGTTTACTGTTACATTGGCGCACACAGCTAGATAGGGACCCGCTCGTCACATCGTGCAAATAGGGCTTAAAATAGCGTTATGAAGAGACCTCCCCTCTCCCCCTTTTCTCTTTTTTAACCGACAGCTTTGACCGGTTAACGCTGTGACGGTCAACCACCGGTTAACCGGTCACCGATTTACATCCCTATGTGTGAGTCACGAATCAAAGAAATGTACACCATAACCAAAAGCAGAAACATTTACACACATTGGCTTTCAACGATACGTCTTACTGTGTGAAGATGGCTTTTAGTATAGTTCCTTTGTTGGTAAACACGTGGTCCGGCTTTTGGTACCGGAGGTCTCTGGAGGAAGTTTCTTTGTTGTTGTTCTCTGTGGCAACCGCTGTGTAGCGTATCGTCCCGTCCAGCTTGTTGTTGTAAAGGGGAGAAGGCAGTTAATCTAACTTAGTTGAGCAAAGTTCAGAGACCATTCGCGCGAGTCCAGCTCACGGGCACAGAAACTTGTAGGAGCAGGCCACTACAGAAGAGGCGAAGAGCAGAAGAGAACAAGCGAGCCAAGAGAGCGCGCGCAGCGTTCCAATTGGTTTTTGTCTTCTGTCTTGTGGGCGGGTACGTTGTAGTCACTTCCTGTTTCCGGCTCTTTCACAACACAAAGACTTTTGCGCCTGCAGTTTTAGTGAGATGTATTAAACATAATTGTTTAAAGCACAAACACTTAAAAAGACATCGTGACTCACAATTCAATAAAGATTAATGACAACAGAGATGCAGGTCCTTTGTTGCCGCTAGGGGGCACTAAAATCACAGTCTTAAAGAATCCAAATCCCATTTGCAGAGGGCGTCCTCCCCCGTGGTGAGACTGACGCGGGATGTCTTTGATGCTTGTCTGTCTCGATGAGGGGGACAATGGACACTGTGTGTTTTGATTTAATTAGAGAGTCTGATTTGTGGTAGGGTTAGCAGAATCTCATCTTACACATAAATTATTAATGGTCCCACAAGGATAACAAGTCTTTCAAGAACACAAATTGATCTTGTGTTTACTAATAAACCAGAAAGAATAATAGAATCACACAACTTCTTGTCAGGACTTTCAGATCACAATGCAATTTTTATCTCCAGAAAGCCCTCTAAAAAACGACATAACCATAAAAGCTTAAGCCCTAATCAATTGTTTATACCAAAAAGTCAAGAACAAAATGTAGCTGTTGCATTGAATAACTTTAATTGGTCTGAAATTACTTCCTGTACAAATATTGATAAATGCTGTGACCTCATTTACTCGTCAATCAGTGATGCCGTGAGTTTCAAAGAATGGGATCTCATAAAAAACAACTACATCATTTACCTTGGATCAACAGGGACTGCAAACAACTTATGATTCATATAGACAAACTTCTTAAAAAATCATTAAGGTCTGGTCTAACGACTGATAGACTAAATTTGAACCAGCCCGGACTCTGAGGAGCACAGGGACTGGACTCCTGTTAGTGCCCAGAGTCAGAACTAAACATGGGGAGGCTGCTTTTCAGATTCATGCTGCTAAAATCTGGAACAATCTTCCTGAAGATGTGAGACAGGCCTCCTCTTGACAATGTTTAAAACCAGGTTAAAAACGGTGCTGTTTAGCTGTGCATACAACTGAGGGATTTTATATTTTTATCTTTCGTTTTAATGTTCTGTAATTATTTATGATTTTAATGCTATCTTGTTCAGCACTTTGAGTTGCCTTGTGTATGAATTGTGCTATACAAATAAACTTGCCTTGCCTTGCCTTGCCTTAAATTTTGTTTCAATAAGAAATAGGGTTATACAGACTTTAAGAATGGCAAAAGCAAACTTCTTTATAAAGGTGATAGATGATGCCAGAGGAAACTGTAAAGTTATCTGGGATAATATTAAAAAATTGACTGGACAACCAAGAGAAAAATGTGGAAGAGAACTTGAGCTTAAATTTGATAATGAATTGGTCTGTGATCCTGTTATCCTTGCTGATAAATTAAATGAATACTTTCATAACATCACAAATGAGATTGCACAATCTTTTAGATCGCCCTGTGATCCTTTTACTAATTCATGTAAAGAAATAGGGAAACTAGGTGACCGCATACTCTCCCATAGTGCACCTGAGTTTAACATTGAAAGAGTCTTGGAAATTGATGTATTAAATTTAATCTCAAAATTAAGAAATTCAAAAGCACAGGATATATTTGGAATAGATACCAATCTAGTGAAGCACTATAAAACTGTCTGTCAAAACCCATCACACATCTAATTAATGTATCGATTACACAGGCAGCTGTTCCACTGAAGTGGAAGATGGCCAAAATTACACCTATCCATAAATCGGGTGACAAAACAGACCCCGCTAACTATCGCCCCCATCAGCTTTCTGCCCACCATCTCAAAGATTGCTGAAAAATGGGTGGCCAAATCTATTACAGAACATCTCAACAATGGCAAAGGCCTACACCCCATGCAATTTGGGTTTAGGTCCCAGCACTCAACAGAAACAGCTGTCTGTGTATTCGTGGAAAAGGTCAAGTCTTATCTTGACAAAAATAGTTGTGTTGCAGCCGTCTTCATTGATTTTAAACGTGCATTTGACATGATCAATCATTTAAAACTCCTGTCAAGACTGTCTGAATTTAACTTCAGCGCTCATTCAGTTCAGTGGGTGAAGTCATACCTTTTAGACCGGCAGCAGTGTGTGCAAGTAGGTGACAGTAGGTCCCCCTTTCTCCATTACAACATAGGGGTTCCTCAGGGGTCAATTTTAGGCCCCTTACTTTTCTCACTGTATGTCAATGACTTACCAAGTATCTGTAAGAATGTGGACACCATAATGTATGCTGATGACACAGTTATTTTTACAAAAGCAAGAAGTGCAGAGGAGGCAGCCCTTTGTCTGTCAACAGTTCTTGATGATCTACAGAAATGGCTACGTGACTCCTATCTCTGTCTCAATGTTAAAAAAACTGTATCTATGTTCTTTTCCAAGCCAAACACAAAATTAACCCCAGCAAAGGTAAACCTGGGAGGTGTAGCCTTAGAGAATGTAGAACAATTTAAGTATCTTGGTGTACTGCTAGATTCAAAATTGTCATTCCATAATCATGTCAAAAAAATAGTAAAAACCGTAAAATTAAATTTAAATAATTTTAAACATATTCGCGCTTCCTTGACTGACCAAGCAGCACTAACTTTCCTACATTCCATGATACTGTCTCATATAGAATACTGTATCACGAGTTGGTCTTATGCTGGTATCTCAGCGATTAAACCAGTCGAGTCATGCTACAAAAGGGCACTTAAAATCCTTGACAAAAAACCTCTCTCTTTCCACCACTGTCAAATCTTAGATAAATACAAGTTACTAAGTTTTTCCAATTTTAAGTTATTTAAATCTACTTGCTTGATCTACAAAGTCTTGCATGATTTGGCCCCCCCACCAATGAGTGAGTTCATCAAGCAGAAATCTGTTAGTGGCGCTGCTCGCTTGACT